TATTTCGTCTTAGCCCCTCGGTTCTCTTTCGGTCCTTCTCCTAAACGTCCAGTTCTTCTCACTCTCCACGCCCCTCCTCGCTGATGTGTGGCCCTGCGTGCCTCGGTGGCTGTTTTCATGGTGAGGTCCTCCAGGTCTGCCCAGCCAACGTGCTTCCCTTGTGCCCCTGCGCCTTCTGCAGCTCAGCTGACATTTAGCTGCTCTTCAGTTCCCCGCTCCGGTCTGCTCCTCCTCCTCCGGTCCCACTCTGCACAAAGGGCCAACAGCCACCCTGTCACACGAGCCCAGCATCTCAAAGTCACTTGACTTGTCATTGCCCTTCTCTCACCTCCATGGCCCGTCCATCACCTAGTCTTGTGGGTTCTGCTGCCGGAATAACGTCCTCTGCCTCCTCTTGGGTCAGCGCCAGCTCCTCCAGCCTCAGCTCTAACCTGGACTCCTCCTGTCTCCACGTCTGCCCTCCCTGCAACCCCTTCTCTTCTGAAATGGAACCCCGACCAGCTCTCCAGTTTTAGTCCCCCACTGACTTTCGTTCCATGCTCACTAGAGACAGGAACAGGGAGGAGAAGGAGAGAGAAAGCAGCTCCCCAGGACCTGGCCACACCGCAGCCCGTTTCCTCCAGCTGTCCCTCCTGTCAGGACCCTGCCCACATGTGTGCGTGGAAAAGCGCTGAGTACGCAAGCCGTGAAGGCTGACACTGAAACCCTAGTGGGCTGTGTGGGATCCAGGTTCCTCTGCACAGCGCTTAACCACGGTGCTGCAGGGCTGACCCCCTCATTTGCCTTTAGGACATGTGGGTTCAAGACTCCTCCTCTCAGGGCCCCTGCTTCCTTCTCCAGCTTCACGGGTAACCTCTCACTCCGTGGTCCTGCCAGGCTGAGCTACTTGCAGACCCCCAAGCATGCCACGCTTGTCTTGCTGTGTCACCAACACACGCACCCAGCGTGAGTTTCAAGCCACCGGGTTCACAAGCTGAATGGCGCTGGGGAAAATGCCGGATGTGGTTGGTTGAATGGGAGGCAAGCAGCAGGGTGCTGAGAAGGCCTTCTGCACCTCCACCTTAAGGAAGGTGATAAGGAATAAATGAATATGGCCACTGAGCTGTGGGGGCCTGCAGATGGGACACCTGGGTCACCTCAGTTGTTGAAACCAAGGCCAGCCCCCGGAGGTGCCTGGCGATTGAGGCACTAGACTCCCACATGGCTGACCGCAGTAGCTTGTAAACCCAGTGGCTTGAAACTCATGCTGGGCGCGTGTGTGTGTGCCCAAAATCCTGAGCGGAAAATGGAGGAGAAGGGATTGTGGCATGGCCACCCTCCCTGGGAGGTGATTTCTCGCTTTCTGTCTGTCTCTCCAGCAAGCACACGTGCCCTATAGCAAAAATCTCTCAAATGAAAAAAAGAAACCAAGGCCAAAACCTAGAAGCAGCACGCACAACCACAAATTAAGAGACAACCATGCATAACAGAGGACTTACTGTCTGTGAAGGAAGTGGTGTCTAAAATTGGTAATGACTTATCAACTTATTAACAATACAGCCAAATACAGCCTGAGAGTGGAAAATAATCTGAAAGACCCCCTCACAAGTCTCATATAGCATATGGAGTATTTTTGTTCAAACGATGACTAACCCCATGAGCACAAGTCATTTTTAAATTGATTGATCAAAACAGAGGATTAAGGGACCAGCAGATGGTGTAATGTTATGTCGCTGGACTCCCACATAGTAGACTGCGGTTCGAGTCCCAGACCTGGCGGCTTCAAACTCACATGGGGCGCGTGTGCACGCGTGCCCCAAATCCCAGGAGCATAATAGAGGAAAAGGGATTGCAATGTGGCCAACCACCTCCTGGGGGGTGATTTCTTGGTTTCTGTCTCTGCCTCTCTGGTGAGCACATGTGCCCTATAGCAAAAATCTCTCTTAAAATAAAAAAATCAGAGGATTAAAACAGGGTTGTGGCATGGCCATCACCCCTGGGGTGGGAGGTGTTTTCTCACTTTCTCTCTCTACTGAGCACATGTGCCCTGTAGCAAACAAACCCAAAACTTGGACAACTGGTGGCCTGGTGGTTAGGGCTGCTAGATCCCATATGGCCGACTCTGCAGTTAAAGTCCTACTAGACATGTGTTGCATGCCTGCCCAAAATTCTGAGAGGAGAGTGGAGGAGACGGGATTGTGGTGTGGCCAGCCCCCCCGGGGGTGATTTCTCACGTTCCCTCTCTCTATTTCTCTCGGGCAAGCTCATGTGCCCTGCAAGGGGGGCAGAAGTCTAGCCGCACTTGTGGCTTCTCCTCCTTAGCTTTCAGAGACTTTGATCCCTTTGCCTGAGAAATCTTGGTCAAGCAATTTAACCTCTCCATTTCCTCATCTGCAAAACTAAGAATTGGGGCGAGTGATCGCAGTAACTACTCCACAGGCTGTTGTGAGAGTTACGTGAGCTGATACTTGTGGAGCGCTAAGACCACTTCCTGCCACAGAGTAAGCGCTGCTGCCATGGATCGCGGTCGGATTTGTTACTCTCCTGTTTTCCGCTCACCTGCCTGGTCGCCCTCATTCTCCTGTTCTGGAATCAGGCATCGTTCCTGGAGCGCACACTCTGCCCAGCAGTCCTTCAGGGAGGGCACGCTCGCCGCCCTCTCAGGTGGAAAGGAGGCCAGGCCGTATGTGGGCAGCGCACTGCTCAGGTGACGGCGGTGGGCACCCCGCTGCCCTGTGGTTCCAGGCGTGTGCCCCATGATT